GAAGGGAGGCTGAGACATGTAGTCTCTGGTTGAATGGACTCTGCTCATCGAATTCAAAAGAAAAGGAAAGAATTGATCCTGAAGAACAATTAGCAATAGTTGCTACAGGAAGTGCCCTCTAACTATGTAGGTACATATAAGCTGACCGAGGGTTAGCCAAAGAGATCAGTTCCACTGGGTGCTTTGGACTGGAGGATTGGTCATAGCTGACAGCAGCATCTTCCTCATATTCTCCCTGGGTGTGTCCTGAGTAGGTGCCTACCTGCTCGAGTGTACTTGGTACCTGCCATATTCTAACTCTGGTTCCTTTTGGGTAGCTCCCCAGAAGCGCAGCAGCTTCCAGGATGGCAAGCATAGTACTTCATAGTATCGTTGAAACACAGGATTTATTGGGAAAGCTTATGAGCCAGAGTTCAACAAGAGAAGGCACTCTAAACCCCAGATTCCCATTATTCCCCCAGGAGGCACACAGGGCAGGCTTTTCTGGCAAATGTGCTGTAATACTTCATTCTTATGATTCTCCCTTCTTATAGGGAGATACAACTTTCGCAGTGGAGAACTAAACAGACTGCATGTAAGAAGGCAAAGTAGCCCTGGCTGGGGTGGCTCAGTTGGTTGAGCCTCACCGCATGCACCAAGTGGTCTCTGGTTCAATTCCTGGTAAGGGCACATGCCTGGATTACAGGCTTAATCCCCAGTAGGGGGTGTGCAAAAAGCAGCACAGATGTTTCTCCCTGCCCCCCTCTAAAATCAATAAGAAGCTGTGTGGTTTTTTTAAAGGCAGACTATATTTGGGGTGCCCACTTTTTAGAGGAATTGCCCCGGGAAGCCAGTAGCCCAGCTCGTGGAATGTGAGGTTGTGGCAATTTCAGCTCCTTGTGCCACAGGGAAGCTCAGTTTGGCTGTACCTCCCCCCAGTCACCACTCAAGTGACTGAGCAGACAACTGCACGTAGGCTCTTGGGGTCTCGTTGGATGATTTTGCTTTTCAGATCGAGCTGTGTTTCCTACTGATTTTATGAATTGTCTGTCCACTCTTCTCTCTCCTTCTAGAGGGAATTGGTTTCTGTTGTATACAACCACGACAATTGACTAATAGAGTATTTGTAACCCAAAGAAATTTAAAACTTAAACAAGGAATTGAATTATATATTTTGGGACTGGACTGGATCCCAAATAAAGTAAGATATTATTATTCCAATGTTATATATTGGGTGTAGAGGCCCAGAGATATTCATTGGTAATTTTACCTAAAACAATTATTAAATGAAAGTGATTTAATGCAGACTGCCATGCCTTTAAAAGTACCTGGTACACATGTTCATTTGCAGTGTTAGTTACTACAGGTGACCAATCTATACTTAGCATGATACTTTTACTGGTCTGGATATTACTATATATTTCAAATACCTGACATCTTGTATTTATAACTATAGATTGATATTAGATCTAGACAGTTTAAGCCTTCCAGGACAGTAAGAAATTCATCTTCTTATACTGCTCAATCGGCGAATTGTCTATGACAATACAAGGTCATGATGAATTATCTCGAGCTTAACCATTTTTCTTGCCATGAATTTCCATGCTCTACAAAACAGCAACCTGAAATGTACTTACTATTTCATTCAATGTCAATAAAATTAAAAAGAGTAACAGTATCTTATATGTGATAAAGAGATCACCTGCCATAAAAGTTGCAGTTGGTTTTACTTAGTACTCACTCCTTCAGTCTAATGTTCTCTCTTGAAGCTCCGTGCATACAGGTAATGAGGTGTCATTTGGGAGCATCTTGCAACTTGTCTGATGAGACACGTGAATGATAGCTCCATCTCCCATGATGGCTTGAAGTATGTCATCACAGCTGAGCATTCACTCTCTTCTTGTTATAATCAAACAGAAATGTTAGCATAACTCAATTCTAGGACAAAAGACAATAAAGATGTGGTTGCAACCGATTCTAATAGTTAGATATTGAATAAAAAACATAAATCAGAAAACAATCAGGTAAACATTAACCTCTTCAACTAATCTGCAAATGTGTAAGCACATTCACTGTTTGTACCAACTGATATAAATGTGTGTTTGTAATGAATTAGTGTAGGAAGATCTAATTAATACTGTGTAAAAGCAACATTTGAAGGAAAAATAACTGAGAATTCTCCAAAGTGAAAAGGAAGATGAGCCTGTGGGTGAAATGTACATTCTGAGTATAATACAGGATTAATAAAGCAAATTCTATACTTAGGCAAATCCAGTACAACTGCAGAATAGACTTATTAAAAGACTTAAAGTTGAGTATCTATGGTAATAAAAATAAAAATACCCAAAGAATAAAAAAACTAAAAGAAGAAAATACAATATATTATTTCTAGAAGGGAGGAGAAAGATCTACATAAAAAGAAATGTGGTTACATTGAAACCACAAAATAAGATAATAGAAAAAATTCAAATATATGATTAATTCCAGTAAATGCTAATGGATTAAACCCATATTTTTAAAAAGTGTGTGTTTGCAAGTAACATTAGGAAAAATAATACAGATAAGGGTACTTATAAGTAATTTCTAAAATGAAATAATACAGTGAATTATAAAGAGATGCAAAATTGTATACCATGTCAGTGCTTTTAAAAAAAACTTGTGCACCAATATTAATATTAAATCTATTAGAATCTAGGGCAAAAGTGTTAATGTTGATAAAAACCTACAGAGAAAGTATTACAATCATTATTTGTACACACATAGCTTCAAATATAAGATAAAAATTAATAGAATTAGATGATACAATCACACTAGAAACTGGTGGATTAAGCAGTAACATTACTTAACAAAATTAAGTAATAAGATCTAATGGACCCGCTGAAGCCGGTTTGGCTCAGTGGATAGAGCGTCGGCCTGCGGACTGAAGGGTCCCAGGTTCGATTCCGGTCGGGGGCGTGTGCCTGGGTTGCGGGCATATCCCCAGTGGAAGATGTGCAGGAGGCAGCTGATCGATGTTTCTCTCTCATCGATGTTTCTGACTCTCTATCTCTCTCCCTTCCTCTCTGTAAAAAATCAATAAAATATATTAATAAAAAAAAAAAAAAAAAAGATCTAATGGACCCACATAATGATTGTATGCAATAAATAAAAGAATATTTATTATTCTCAAACTAGAGGCCCAATGCATAAAATTCGTGGAAGAGTAGGCCTTCCTTCCCCTGGCTGCCTGCACCGGCTTCCCTCTGGCACCTGGGACCCGGGCTTCCCTCGCAGCCCCGGCTTCGTTCGGAAGGACGTCTGGAAGGACATCCAGTCTAATGAGCATATTATGCTTTTATTATAATAGAAGATATACAGAAAGCCATTGAGGAGGATGTGACCATTGTCTGTCCCAGGAGCTGAACCCGGGACAGAATGAGGTTGCTTTCTGCAAACCCCTTTAGAGATTGTCTGATCATACTTGACGATCATCCTGACAGAAATCAAAACCACTCTTTTGCCTCCTGCTGTGTGCTGGTTCTGGAATAGGTTATTGTCCTGACCTGGGCAAGCACGTAAAGTACTTTCCATACCTGATAGCATTCATGTACTCATACCCATGACTACCACCCCAATGACCCTGTACACAGTATAATTCTCTGGTGCCTGCCAAGCGGTGTGGGGATCCATTTCATCTTGTAGCTGCCCAAGACATGCCTCAGATGTAAGCTTTCCTTAATAAACTCTATTAATTGCCAGACTAGAGCGACCAGTCTCTTTCTTAAAGAAGTAGATTTTTAGTCTAGGGGCTTTTCCCTGGTTTAAGTGTACTAACATCCATTTTAAAAAACTATTTCAAAGAATGAATCAAAATTAAATATTCTCTCTTAACAACACAGAACAATTAATTTGTTAATTATCAATGAAAAGATAGTTCAAACATTTATACATTTGGAAAAGAAAAGCATGCCTAAATAATACAAATGTTTAAGAGATGTCATAATGGCAGTTACAGATTATTTTAAAACAAATAACGGTAAGAATAACTCTAAAGTAAGTAAAAGGAAGAATAAAATCAAGACAGAAAATAATGAAATATACAATCAAGAAACAAAAGAAAGGACTAACTAATTCTTAAAAAGAATTTAATGGGGGGGGGGGTGGGGGGGGAAACTCCTGCTAAACTAATTAAGAAAAAAAAAGGCAGAAGTAAATAACACTGGCAACATAAAGGAGCCATACCAGGTGGAGTAGATGTTTAATGGCATACTGAAAGAAATGTTTTGAATAAATTTGAACTAGCTGACATGGGTAATTTTATAGTAATGCTGCATTACCAGTATTAATTTAAGCTTGGTGAAACTGAGCCACCAAATAAACTGAAAGAACAATTGAGAATCCCCTCAATGTAAAGAGGAGCCACATTTGGTCCACAGGTAAACTAAGTCTATAAAATGGCAGAATAGTTTATATAAGGAAATTAGTAAAATTGGAACATTAGCTTTTGTATCAATAAGTAACATTGATATGTGATAAAGCCATGCAATTTCCCTATACCCATGATGGCCATTTCTTGTATCATCCCCACTAGAATTCTTAACTCATGGTCCGTCAAGTTCTACAGTACATGTCCCTTCCCACAAAGACTTCCGTGTTTCATGTTCCTCACTGTTTTCTGTGATCCTGTGGCTCTGTCTTGCATCATGTGTTTGTGGGCATGCCCAATCCCCCAGCTGGCCTGCAGCCCGTCTGTGGTGCCCCACATGGAGCCCAGCAGGGTGTGTGATTGTATCTAATGCTGAGAGGATATGTGGCTACTACCTCCTTCCCTATAGAAAGCAGCAATCATAGCTGTGACCTGACAGAGGGCAAGTGCAAAACAATGTCTGAGCCAAGTCTGTCCATGCTGCAGGCAGCCCCACTTGGCACATTGACATGACCAAGAGCAAACAGGACGAGAGCTTCCCCATGCTGCCTCTGGCTGGCTGTGTGCCCACCTTGCCTCTCTTCACCCACAGCTCAGGTTTCACCCTTCTAAATATAAGGTGTGCTCAGGGGTCCCAGACACTGCACAGTGCCCCAGGGCCTTCTGGGGCAACACAGTCTATCATGGATCACTACAAATTGTTTTAAATTATGCATTTTCTGAGAAAACTTTAGAATCACATCTATTTTAAAAGAATAAATTGGATAAAAGAAATAGGTAAGTGACTATATCATGGCTGTGTTCGTATTTTTTCTTTTACCTTTAGGTTAGGTTTATTTCAGACAAAATTAGTTGTGGGCATTGTTTGTAGTTGGATGCAAACTTTTCTCTTACTTTTCCCAATAAATACCTGCACTGATTACATTTTTTATTACAGTATATTTGATTATAACTTTGTGTGAACTTTGCTTTTTTTTAATCAGATATTTATTACATGGTATTGTTTTGCAAAAAATATTCATGTGGAAAAAAGAAAAAAGAATGTTATTGATGTCAACCTCTCTTTCCCTGTCTCTGTTACTCAGACTGCTGCTCATACATAGTGTCTGGCGCTTGCTCACGGGGATAGCAATGGCATCGGTACCTTCAGTTGGTTGCCTTCTGGCCAAAAATCAGTATTATCGAAGTAAGTAATATCATCACTAGAGGACCCCCTAGAGAATATGGTATGAACTGATGTCTGAAGGGCCTTAGTAACCCACTATTGTATCCTGGTCATTTTAAGGTGAAGGAAGACTGATGTGACAGTGAAGGACATAGGAATAGAATTCATTGGAGACTTCTCCAAATCAGTATTATCAAGGAAGGCTCATTTCTTTAACTATGTTATATGGTATCGATAAGGCCACTAACACATAAATAAGTGATCAGCTTATATTTCAAATTAATGTTTAATTTCAATACTTTAAAAACCGATAATTTTTTAAAAATAAAATATTCATTTTTTAGAAAAGAAGGGATATCATAACTATGCTTCATGGATTTTCTAATTTCTACTTTGCTGCCATGGATAATAGGTTAGCATCTATCATGACAGTTTTATTTTTATCCATCTGTATTTATAGCTCAATAGAAAATTGTAGCTTCTTAAATTCAGAAACTTCATTAAATAAAATGATTACTTTAAAACCAACGTATCACCCTGGCTGGTTTGGCTCAATGGATAGAGCATCAGCCTGTGGACTGAGGGGTCCCAGGTTCGATTCCGGTCAAGGGCACATGCCTGGGTTGTGCGTTCGATCCCCAGCAGGGGGCGTGCAGGAGGCAGCCAATCAATGATTCTCTCTCATCACTGATGTTTCTCTCTCTCACTCTCCCTTCCTCTCTGAAATCAATAAAAATATATTTAATAAAAAACTTATCATTTATTGAAAAGATGCCAGCAACATGTAAAAAAAACACTCTTATTTCAAGATGCTTTTAACTCTGTGTTGGAAACATCTATTGATTTATCCTTTTTACAACAAGATTAAGCTATGCCCATTTACTTTTTGTTATTACAGCCACAGAAGTTATTTTTATATTCTGATATTTTAAAAGACTTATATGCTTCAAATGCAAATACTGTTTATTTTTTTAAAAAATAACTCCTTTGTTTCTAAATATGATAGCCTTTGTATGCTATTTAAATATATACACATGTAATATTTCTAACGCAATAAAATAACATTCATTCTTGATTTTATATTTCCTAAAATTTTAAATTTTATAGCACTTATAAAACATTTTAAATTCTATATTTATATCTGTGGAAAGAGAATGTTCACCACTGAAAGGAATATACCATATTAGTAAAAAATGTAATAAGCCTTATTATTCTGGAAGACTTTGTAATTGATTGATAATTTACTTAATTTTTAAATTCTTAAATGTATGAGCTAGAAGTAAATAATTTCAAACCATACTACTTGAGAGTTTAGAGATAAATATGTATTTGTTTGCTTGTTATGTATTTGTTCATTCATTATTGTTTCTTTTGTAGAGGCCAGTATTTCTTCAGTTAGCTCTGACTCTGTTAATTTCATAGATGAAGACAAACCCCTTCAAGGTACTTAGTTTATTCCTTATCAGCATCACTCTCATTATTTTTCTGTTTTTAATCTCTCAAAATTTTGATAAGGTCCTAGCCAGTATGGCTCAATGGATATAGTGTTGGACTGAGGACTGAAGGGTCCTGGGTTCAATTCCCAACAAGGGCACACACCCGGGTTGTGGGCTCAATCCCCAGTAGGGGGTGTGCAGGAGGCAGCCCATCAATGACTCTCTTATTGATATTTCTATCTCTCTCCCTCTCCTTTCCTCTATGTCTGAAATCAATAAAAAAATATATAAAAATTTTGTTGATAAGGAAGTAATATGTATTTTATTTGATAGGGTTACCTGAAATGGCAGAATCCACCTGGTGGTTGAAATCCTTTTTTCATTCTGAACCTGTGCTTTCAAGTGAAATAAGAAAAGAACTGTCTGTTAGTGGGTAAGTTACAGCCTTTTGTGATAAGGGTATCTCTTACTAGCAGTGAATGAAACAATGCAGCTAGTAATTCTTAACCAATAAGATAAAATCGTTTCTTGAAGATAGTGTAGGTTTTGATATAAAGCATAATTAGGGGATAGAGAGGGACAATTGCTCCCTATTCTAGTTAATTAACCATAAGTCAGATCATGAGCACTTTCTCTCATTCTATCACTAAAGTGTGATTGAAAAGTCATATGTCAATTTTTATTAATGTTTAGGAGGGATAGATTGGGAATCAGAGGCAAGGTTCTAAATGATTTTTTTATTAATACCTTTAGGAAACAGACCACAGTTATCTAGTTGCTGTCTTAAACAACCTAGGTTAGTCCCACTAGTTTTTTAAAAGTATTTGTCTTTAGACAATGGCTGATACTAACACTGATGACCAGCCACTAAACTGAATAAAAATAAATAATGATGGCGTTCATAGATTCTGATATTAAAACTGAAGTTTTGATCAATTTTCTAATATGAGTTTAAAATAGAATCAAGTATTGATACTTTTTAAAATCAAAGGAAGACAATTTTCAAAAAGATGTATTCTTTACTCTCTTTATCAAGTACATTGATTTGAATGAGCTAGGTGTTTTACTTATTTTCTACTGTATTTGGGCTATAAAGACAGCTTAACGTACAGATAAGCATTTCTCAACTAACCATCTTTGTATTGTAATCTAATGACATAGTTGTAACAACTGTCTATTTTATACAGCACTAACTGTTGATTCTGACAATCAAAATGACTCCACCTGCTGAGGTGCTACAAAGGTGAACAAGACCCGTCAGCTCTCAAGTTATTCTAGACAACGCTTCTCCATTGCAAAAAGACAACAACCGGCCAGAGATCTCATTTATTAGGCAAAATCACAGCAGCCACCCATACAAGTTCAGGCATTTTCTTCAATACTAAAATTACTGTTGTGAGTAGCATCAGCTTCTCAGAGAAAATTAGAAAAGCATGGTTTAAAAAATATGTGCCCCTTTAGAGCAGTTAGTCTTTAACTGTAGCAGTCTTTTCATTATCCATATTATGTTTCCAAAAATTTAATTATTATTTTCAATTAAAAAAAGTTAGACACTCTTTATGTTTGTTGAATTATTTATTATACCTTAAAACAGAAGCATTGATACCTACTAAAATGGTTTAAAGGTCACTGGATTCAAATGTGTAGAAGAGGTGCAAAAATTTTATTTTTAATCATGAACATTGAAAATAACAAACACACCCACAAATACATTACCTGTTTGACACATTGCTATACATCTCACCAACTGTTCATTGTGTGGACTTTAAAATTTATAATTTTAGCAATATTTAACAACACAGAAAATTATGATACTATGTTAAGTGAAAACTGTAAAATAATCTATATATGGATGATTTTAATTGTATTAAAAATATCTACACTAATAAAAGAGAAACATGGTAATTGGCGTATGACCGCTACCCTTCCCATTGGCTAATCAGGGAGATATGCAAATTAACTGTCAGCCAAGATGGCAGCCGGCAGCCAGGCAGCTTGAAACTAACATGAGGCTTGCTTGCTTCAGTGACGGAGGACTCCAACGTTCCCCGCTTGCCGCTGCAGGCCTCTGAGCTTGCAGTTTCAAACATTGTAACAAATATAGACGATAAACAAAACCCCAGAAACCAGCTTTCAGCTAGCCGGGATCTCAGAGCTGGAGTTGATACAGAGTTTCGATGATAGAACCGAAACAAACCAGATACCTGCTTTCAGGAGCGGAGGCCTAAGAGCTGGAGCCTCAGAGCTAAAGCTGGCCCAGAATAAAAAAAAAAGGAAAAAAGGAGCAGTTGGGAGCTTCAGTCCCAGCCTGAAAACAGCCCTCAGCCCCTCACCCAGACTGGCCAGGCACCCCAGTGGGGACCCCCAACCTGAAGGGTGTGTGACCAGCTGCAAACAGCCATCATCCCCTCAACCAGGCGGGCCAGGCACCCCAGTGGGGACCCCCACCCTGATCCAGGACACCCTTCAGGGCAAACCAGCCGGCCCCCACCCGTGCACCAGGCCTCTATTCTATATAGTAAAAGGGTAATATGCCTCCCAGCACTGGGATCAGCGGAGCTGAGAGGCCTCCCGGCACCGGGATCAGTGTGACAGGGGGCAGCACCCAAACCCCGATCGCCCTGCGGCTCTGTGTGTGACAGGGGACGGGGCCACAACCTCCCTATCCACCCTGCTCTGTTCGTGACAGGGGAAGGTGCCCCAACCCCCTGATCGGCCCTGCTCTGTGGGTGATAGAGGGCGGCGCCCCAACCCCCACCCCCCCACAGGCCCTGCTCTGTGTGTGATGGGGTAGAGCCATAACCTCCCCATCGGCCCTGCCCTGAGTGTGACAGTGGTGGCGCCCCAACCCCCTGATCCGCCCTGCTCTGTGTGTGACAGGGGGCGGTGTGCCAACTCCCCTATTGGCCCTACTCTGTGAGTGACAGGGGGGAGCTCCTCAACCCCCTGATTGGCCCTGCTCTGTGCGTGACAGGGGGTGGCACCACAACCTCCCCATCGACCCTGCCTTGAGTGTGACAGGGGGCGGTGCCCCAACCCCCCAATCGGCCCTACCCTGAGCGTGAATGAGTGTGGCATCGCAACCTCCCAATCCGCCCTGCTCTGTGCATGACAGTGGGCGGCACCCCAACTCCCCAATCCGCCCTGCTCTGAGCCCAACCAGGGGCTGCACCTAGGGATTGGGCCTGCCCTCTGCCACCCGGGAGCAGGCCTAAGCCAGCAGGTCGTTATCTCCCAAGGGATCCCAGACTGCGAGAGGGCACAGGCCGGGCTGAGGGACCCCTCCCCCCCCCCCACCCCCGAGTGCACAAATTTTTGTGCACCGGGCCTCTAGTATATGGATAAGATTGAAAGGCAATATAACAAAACTAGAGGCCCAGTGCACGAAATTCATGCATGGGTAGGATCCATAGGCCTGGCTAGTGATCAGGGCAGATCAGGTTCCCTCGCCTCCCTGTGCGCCGCCACCATGCGGTTACCCCCCCCCCCCCCCGCCTCCCCGCCTCCTTCTCTTGCCACCCATGCACCACCACCTCGCGGTTCCTCCTGCCTCCCTGCCTCCCCGCTTCCCCACCTCCTCCTTCCCTCGCTCCCTCAGCTCCCTGCTGCCGCTGCTGGTCGCCCACCATGTTCTGCGCCACCCCTGGTGGTCAGCGCATGTTATAGCGAGCAATCAAACTCCTGTTCTCCTTGTTGAACTCCTGAAGGGACACTTTGCATATTAGCCTTTTATATATATAGATAGTAACAGTGGCTATTTTTGGAGGTAGGATTATGGGTGGTTTTCATTCCCTTATTCATATATTTCTGTAACTCTAATTTTCTAATGCAACCAAATTTTGTGTATAATTAGAAAGCAATGAAATGTATTTTAAAAGGAGTACTGGAATGAATTTTCTGAATGTGAATATATCCTACATTAGTTTGAGTATTTCCTGCTTTCCTCAATATTGGGTGGATAATACTTAATGAGTTTCAATTTAAAAGTTTCTGTATACTGTTTGCAAATATTTTTCAATGTAAGATGATAAATGCTTAGAAATTAGGGATGATGAACTCACTCAGAGGTAGATAATCACTATGGTGTTTCAGGGCTGATGTTGCATTAAACATCCTGTAGAGTATACATGATTGTTTATTGTCCAACTGTCTTCTTATCCCATCACATAACCATGATAATTATCAAGACTGTTTTCAGCAATGGGCACTCCTGACCACTTACTTCTCTTTCTTTTCTTTTCTTTTTTAAGTATATATTTTATTGATTTTTTTACAGAGAAGAAGGGAGAGGGATAGAGAGTTAGAAACATCAATGAGAGAGGTCGATCAGCTGCCTCCTGCACGCCCCCCACTGGGGATGTGCCCGCAACCAAGGTACATGCCCCTGACCAGAATCGAACCTGGGACCCTTCAGTCCGCAGGCTGACGCTCTATCCACTGAGCCAAACGGGTTCGGCAACTTCTCTTTCTTAATGGGAAATACATTCCTTTAATTTTGTAACCGTCTATCACTTTGCTGTCAATGAAGGAGACTCAAATATCATTTGGCCCAAGAGCATATCATTGTTTACACATCATTTTTTTGTTTTTGGTTGTTTGCATTTATAAATTTTATATATTTGTAGAGGTCAGTTAAAGTTTTGGACTATATATTTCACTTGGCTTCAGTCTAACATTAAATTACATTAATTGAAGATTGACTAAATTTAGAGAAAAATATGGTAAAGCAAAATGGTAAATTTTTAGTATTATTTGTTTTTGCTTTAAGATTATAAACAAATTCATTTTTATTTAACAACTAGGGGCCCAGGGCACGAATTCGTGCACCTTGAAAGGAACTGTGGGCCGCGAAGCTGCGGTGGGCACAGGGGTGAGTCTCGGTCCATTCTCCACGCCCCCACCAGGCCCTCCTCCTGCTGCGCCCCCTAGTCCCCACTCTGCCGGCAGCACCGCTCCCCGCCACCGCTCCCACACGCTGACAGTGCTGAGCGATTGGAACCGGTACCAGGAACTGGCAGCGGGTGCAAGCAGCGGTTTCGGCACCGGCTGTGGGTGCAAGCACGGCTGTTACTGGCAGCGGGTGTGAGAGGCAGCTGCCGGCCCCAATCACCCCTCAGGAGCAGGGCGAGGTAGAGAAGCTCTGAGGGGGCGATCGGGGCCAGCAGCTGCCTCTTGCACCCGCTGATGGCGCCAAGCAATCATGGCCAGTGCCGGGCACCGGCAGTGGGTATGAGCTGTGGCTTCAGTGCTAGCAGCAGGTATGAGCCCCCGGTGGGACTGCGGTGCACAGGAGCAAAGAATTTTCAGTAACCACCAGAGACTTGCCCCGATGACAGCGACTGGAGCCCTGCCTTGGTCTGGCAACCCCGGCACAGCTGACGCCTGCCATGTTCTGTGCTCTGCTGCCTGCTGCCAACTCCTGTCAGGTTCTGCACATGCCCCCCTGATGGTCAGCGCACGTCATAGCAACTGGTTGGTTGTTCTGCCATTTGGTCTATTTGCATATTAGGATTTTATATAGAGAGAAGATTTGGTGTATGTGGGAATAGGTTGCTTGTTTAGGTTATTTGATAAATTTCCCAAAAGTATCAAAATTGTTGCTTTTACCTTTTACAGTTTAGAATAGTGTTACTTTTGCTAAAAGTTACTGGGTAAAGCTGATGAATTTTACAAAGGCTTTGAATTAATATATTATCATGACCATATATAGTTATTAAGCATTTTATGGTGATTAATACATACACACGTAGATATATGAGGATAGATCAATAGATGGGAATATAAGGAATCTTCCTGAAAAGTAATGTTAATGTGAACTCATACAATGCTTTAAAAATTGAAAGTATTCCTATGTGCTATCCTAGAGTTTCTATAGAATGGAGATGACTTAAATAAAGAAAACAATATTTTCTAGGTAAAGTCTAGTTGATTGCTTCTAATGCGATTTTCCTACAGTCTTGACACTTTAGCACTGTCTTTAAAAAGTATCTCACACAGAGGTCTCACCGTAACTAAACATTGTAACTAAAATAGCCTAACTGTGTTACTTTAGTTACAATGTCTCCTGAGGTGTATTGCTATGACATCTATACAGCCTTTTTCTGTTGCCTTATTGGGTAGACAATAAACAGTGAAGGCCAAATATGTTAGAGTGATGTCATAACTCTGAATGACTTGAGATGACCACTCTAAACTGACTAGAGGCCTGGTGCACAAAATTCATGCACGGGTAGGGGCCCTACCCCTGGCCAGTGATCAGGGCCAATCTGTGGGATGACCAGCAGGGCGATCAGGGGATCCCGGCTGGCACCCGCCTTGGCTGGCCTGGGATCTGTGGGCTGGGGGCAACTCCTGTGTTGAGCGTCTGCCCCCTGATGGTCAGTGCACATCATAGTGACTGGTCATTCTGCCATTTGGTCGATTTGCATATTAGGCTTTTATTATATAGGCTATCATAGAATGTTATTTAACTTGGCCAGGATGTTCATATTAAATGTAAAAGGTTCTGACAATTTCTGCTTGGATTATGTGAAATTATATATTGAGATTTCACCCATT